ACGAAAATTAAATTAAATTTAAATAATTTTTTATTTACAAATTGTGCGTGGTGGTAACTTACACGCGCATCGGTAAAACGGGGTCTTCGACAATATACTTACACCCTGGCCAATGCAGAGGTTTGTTACCACATGTAATTTGCAACTAACAATTTATTTTAATTTAATTTAATTTAAGGTCGAGTTTTCTGAAGTAAAGTTATTTCTATACGCTTGAATTCTGATTCTGATAACGGGAACCACGTTAAATATACATGTATTAATGTGTATGATGTCCAAAAATATAATTTGTAAAAACAACATAAGCTATATTTAAATGAATGAATTAAAAACGCTTTAAACTTGAGTCTACGTTAATTTCTGCTTTAATTAAAACCGTATCGTTATAATATTAATGATTGTTTAATATCACATCCAATAAATTTTTCGATGACGCAAGAGAATGAAAAAAAAAACCCCAAAAATAATTGCTCTCGTGGGTGTTTTGTAGGAATCGATTAAATTTAAATGATTCAAAACATATTGCGGCATTCCCCTATAAAAAAAATGGCTCGGATTTTGCTTGCAAAGTGTGTCGTTTGCGGTGATTTCTTATGCGGCGTTATCGATTTGCAATTTAGAAGTTTGAGATTTATATTGTGACCCCTTAAACGAGGCATCCTCAGGTGAAATAGACTCTGCGGTGACTGAAGCCACGGTGGGATTAGTGGTGACGGCGATAGTGCAGGCAATTGGGGGGGGGGGGGGGGAGTTGCTCTTCGTACTAGGTTAGACAAATCATTTTATTTTATTACGAGTATCTTATCTGATTCATTTTAACATTTTTAATATTGGATTTCCGCAAAGTAACGCCTGATTTCATTAATTATCACTAGAAATATATTATATATCCACTTCTTGTATTATCATATAATTAAAATGACGATAAATTATAAAGGTATCTAGTTTGCAACTTGTCAGAAGAATTTTTCATTAAACGATCTTGAACAAGGTCAAATGCGCTAAGCGACGCGCCGCAAATTATGTTGAGTCTGTATTATTTACACTATGATTTGACAGCGGTGTTGCTTGACTATGAACTAAAGATAGAAAAACACAAGTGGACAATGATTCTGCACTTCGTTTTGATAATAAAAAAAACCTCTGGATATTGTAATTAAATTGTTATCATATATTTTAGTATAGTATTTCTACCCGCCTGCCAACCGTAGCAACAACGACAAATACCTAACCTATGAGGCAATTTAAAGGGATCCTCCCTTTTAATTAGTAAACATTACATAGGCTGTAAAGGTGGAAGGCGCAGTATAGCTTTCTATGTGCCTAAATATATAAATGTATATACCTATGGAGTAGAGCCACGCTGCAGCTATATTATGGTTGTAGCACGAGTAAGTCGGCTCGACCGGAGGACTACGTTTTCACAGAATACCAGTGTGAAATAGTAGTTTAATGCTGCTGTGTACCGTACAGTAAGTGTAAAGACCCTTTCTACTGAAAACGTGGCATTCCATCTTATTTCTTAGACAATGCATCGGCATTTTGATTTTTAATCTAGGATAGATGTAGATCTCTATGGACCACATAATCCACTTAACATCAAGTTGTAAAGAAAGAATCAAGAATGTTTCTTTTTAAACTCTTGAAATAACACGTCTACCAGAATGTCAAGCATGTAGATCCGCGATAAAACTTGTAATATATCTCATTTGGTAGATGTTAACACTTTCATCAAGTTAAATATAGTAAAAATGCTAAACATGCTAAAATACACTAGAAAGGGCGAGCAGATGTTGAATGTGATAAAATCTACCAAATATACAAGTAAGTTGCGTCAGACGAGTTTAAAATTAGACAACTTCAATGTGTTTTGCGAGCGTTGTGCTCATTGTATTTGTACAATATACTTACAGCGTTATGATAATAAAAAAAACTCATCGACTGTCTCGTTCGTCTAGTGGTCGTAAACATGGCTGCTGATCATGGTGTTAGAATCATGGAATGGGGCTAAGAATGAGTCATTGAATAATTCTGTTAAGAAGTTCTTAGTTGTAGTAGTTAAAGTCGTTGTTCCAGCGCCAGATCTCCAGTCGTACGAGAATGAGAGAGTAGAAGTACATATACCTTTATCCTTATCTGTGCAGATAGCTACTCTTCGTTGAGACTGAAATTCGGTCTGGAAATAATTACAATCTCATTTTATTACATGGTAGAGGCATGCTGCAGCTATATTACTTATATATTAGTAGCACGAATGGGTTGGATGGGAAAGGACCACGCTCTCACAGAATACCAGCGTTAAATAGCGGTTTAATGTTTCTGTGTTTCGTATGGTGAGCGTAGAGAATCAGAGACCCTTTTTACTGGAAAAGAGGCATTCTATCTTAGTCCTCACGGATGACAACACATCTGCATTTTGATTCACGTACGAGGATAGATGTAGATGTCTATGGGCCACAGCAATCACTTAACATCAGGTGAACTGTGTGCTCGCTTGTCACTCTTATCCTATAAAAAAAACATATATCCACGGATGAATCTAACGACATCTCGCATATAAAATCCGTCAAAACGATTACATTGTAAGAGGCTACGAAAGAACAGATAACACTTGAATCTTAAATCCATCAATATGACCATCAATAGTACCATCAATAGTGTCAAACTAATTTCCAGTTATAGTAAACCAAATAACGAATGAACAGACAGACTTTATATATATAAGTAAACATTTACTCTTTTAAATTGGCTTCGCAGCGGTTGGTTCCGACACTGGCAACAAGTGAGCCTTGACTCGGATCACAATTATCTGGACATTTTGCATCAGAACTTGACACCGTTGTTTGAATACCAGTTTCATTTGTGCCGCGCATCTATATAAGTCGCCGTATCTGACAATTTATTCAATTTGCGGCAAGTTATATGAAGTAGTATGTTATTACTTTTTCCAGTTCTACAAATCTGAAGTGACAAAAGAAATAACAGACCACCTGATGGTAAGTGGCTACTGCAGTCCATGAACACTTGCAGCCAACTTTAAATAAAAGAAAACATGCGTGCGTATCGTGGAACACTCGGTTGGAACGAAATCCTTTCCTAGTATATTATTATTGATAAACATATTATTGATCAACAAATACAAATGAAGGAATTACTAGCGTCTATTAAAAATGAAGCGTCATTTAAAATAAAATAATATTTATTTCATGGCAAGATAAGAAAAAGTGCGAGGGAGATGGATAATATTCCATCTCACTTCGTTATAGCCGCCAAGGCCGTCTACACTACGTCAGAAGGAGCCGTGACGGAACATTCTTACACTTTTTCTCGTCTAGCCCCATCCACCGAATTCCTACCGTCCTAAAAGGAACTTCGTTCCAAAAAAGGCTACAGATACGTTGTCACCTCTGAGGACTAATAAGGAATGCCTCATAAACCTGATATCATACTGATTCCCTATACTCTTCAGTCCGGAACGTAGCAGCTCAAAAACTGTTATTTGGTAGCAGAAGTAGGTAAGAGTATGGTATCTATCCAGACGAAATCATAGGTGGAAAAAAAATTCTACCTCCAAGTATAGACTCATGAATTTTATGAGAATTATAGAGACATAAAAACGTTACATTCGCTGTTGTGTTTCATTTAGGATAGGTACATTTTATATTTTGTCTTGAAATGATATTTGTTGTATACCGAATATCAAGAATACGTTCAAATCCTACGGGATCACCTGAGCTTTGTAGTCAATTTGGGACCTCTAATATCTCAAATATCTTTATTGGAACCCGATAAATGCATATCTGATATAGGCCTCCAATTTTTGCAAGGTACATAAAGTTATTGTAGCATTTATTTGTTTTGCAATGGCGTTAGTAAGGACTACAACGTCATCTTCTTTATTAATCAGACTAACCTTGTCATTTGTGTTATCGAACCTTGAAATAGAAATATAAAACGACAGAAATTGTCCTGTAATCACAGAAAATTGACCAATAACTGTGTATATAGATAGGTCTATAAATATCTGTGATTAGCTTATTGATTTTATCGAGGTTGAATAGAAAGGTTGGTTTGTTAGACGATAACATTGTACGTGCTGCTTTTTGTAATCTATGGCATTGTTTTTTCACCTGTAGTACAATTAGTAGTCACTTCTGACTGACTTGAAGGTTAGTGATAGTTAGCGGAAATTATAAATTATGATTGCACAGGTTTTACTTTAAATAATTTATTAAAGGACTTTAGCGCGGAACGATCACATAGTAGTTCTAGACCTAATAACAACAGTCAAACAACTAAATGAATCTAATAATAAAAGTTAAGTCTATCAACTTGACTAACATTTCAACTTACTTCGATAATGGATAAGGCAAAATGTAGATCATGGTGTGAAAGTGAAAATTCTTATTGCTACCAAAACAATATAATATTCTGTTTCATTCCTGACACATTCCATCAAAACATCCCATGTCAGGCCAAATTCAACTATTCAGAAACCCGCGAAACACGATTACCGTCCCATCGAACTATGAGAGAGAGGGAATACAGAGTGCACCTGTGCTTGCGAATACACTCCGGCACTATAATTCTATTCTACGAAAATTGCTAGTCTCTATTCAGAAATTCGGTCTAAATTAAAACATGTTGGACATCAACCTCATATCGTCTCTTGGGTGCCGTAAAAGGCGACAGGGGAAAACAAAGCAGTAGAAGGCCGCCGTGGCATCTAAATAACAACTAGAAAAAAAAAAAAAACTGTGAGTGATAAAACGGCTTACCAAGCGTGGCGACTACAGCAAATATCCGCCTTATGAGGCAACTATGGGAGACATATGTTCATCAATTTTATTTCTTTTTAAAATTAATGGACTTTTAATAGACTGTCAAGATGATGATGACGATATTGGATATCTTCAACTATTTTTGCTTGATTGCCAAGTTTATTATTAGTTAAAAGAAAATTCGAGCGAATCATTAATAAAGGATTATTTTGATTTCAGGTTCGTTAAGCCAGACGAGGTGGCGAAACTTTGGGGCACAATGAAACAGAACGACAATATGACGTTCGAGAAGTTCAGCAGAGCCATGCGGTATCACTACAGACAATCGGTGCTTGTTTCCGTACCGACCGCCCGCTTAGTGTACCAATTCGGCCACAAAGGACCAGATTTCAAGACAGATAACCCGAATTTCGTCAAAGTGAAATCAGAGTTCGACGTTCACGATATGACACATCCTTAGTTTATATAGAAGTGAATTATAGGTAAAACAAAGTGTCTGATGAAGTTCAGAGTAATGTAGGGTCGGGAGATGAGATGTAATGTTAATGTTAAATGTAAGACGGAGATCTCTGATCAGTTTTCGTGTTGGAGTTGAGACGAAAGTTATTGTTAAAATAGCTCAATTAATTAGCAACGATGTTTATTGGATAAGCGAATTTGTGTAAGTACAAAACCGTAACCCAAAATAAAGATGGCTAAAATCCTAAATGAGAGCTATCCGATAGATTCATAACTTGGAGATGGCTTGGTGTAAGCATATTTGAATTGGTTAACGATTTGATAGATGTTTCCTGAAATGTTTTGAATGTTAAAGATAAGCTAAATGTGCGATCTGAAATTATTTCGATGGTTGTATGACGTGACGTAACTGTTGGACGGTCCGGTCAATTATCGGTTGTAAACCCGACTCGTTGAAGTGTCCATATTATTTTTTTAAGTGATTTTTTATTGTATTTTACTGACGACGATGAGATGTTTCATATTCGTACTTTTAAAGGTTGTTTAGATGTAACAAATTTTTGATATAATATTTTTGATGTTTAAGTGTTGTTACCATTATAATAAAAATAGGTACTGTAATTTATGTAGTCGAACAGTTTTTGAACATTCCAATATAATTTAAAAAAATGTTTATTAAGTTATTACTAGATGATATAGATTAGTTGAAGTTGCCATAATTATGTACTTAATTTCTTTTATTTTGTCACATTTCGTTTTAAAGTTGCATATTTTATTACATTAGAGTATATTTATACATAATTATATAACAAATTCCATTCTCAGTGTTAAATTAATTCTTAGTGTAATTTAAAAGTATAAGCGCGAATGTGCAATAAGTTTAAAAAAAATGACAAGTGTAAAGATCTGCAGGCCAAAGATTAAGTAGTTTGAACAGAAAGTTACAATTATGTTTTAATTAAAAAAAAAGTTAAAATCTTCTTGTACCGCATAAGTATTAGATTAAGTTTATGACTCTCAGGCATTTGCTGTGATGTAAGGTAATATATTATGTATGTAGTAATGTGTCTGTATATTCGTGGTTACTTCAATCTATGTCGTTAGTTTTAGCACATTGATGTTTCAAAACTAGATTATAATTTAAATTGACATTCATCTCAATTAAGTTACCATTGCTAGATCAAAAATCATTATTTGTAGTACTTACACGAGTTTATTTAAACGTCTCGTTCATAACAGTTTATTTATGACTCGCTAATAAGGTTGTTATGCCTTATCTGTGCAGTTTTAACAATTGGACTTGTTAAAGAAGTACTCGATAAAAAATTAAAAATTATATTTACAATCTGAAATACAATTAATTGCATATTGGAATTGAAAATCGCAACTTGCAGTACAAAGTGTGTGTCTTTTTTTCATTAAGATAACAAAACACTTCAAAGTGTCTACACATAGAACATGTTTTGATAAATTTACACGTAGTTTCTTCGGCTATTGCAAACGGAACGAATGTAAGCAGTTTCACTTTCTTAAACTGTTTTTATAATATATAAAATGTTCGTCGATTATTCCGTGCATGGAATACAAAATTTATTTCAAATAACGAAGAGATTTATTAAAAATTATAATAAATGCCAATAAATAAATAAAAAAATAAAAAAATAAATTAAACGGTTTATTTTTAAGAATCATTCCTTACGAAAGAAGAATGACCTTCCAGATAAAGAAGAGTATCGTTCAAAAATGAATAAACTATAAACACTGTTCGAAAATGAATTAAATATAGTCACACACACATTGAAGGAATAAATGATTCAAGATGTTTTCTCTATTTTTCGTCAAAATGGACATCTCTCTAATCTTAAGCGTTTGTTAAATATTTTTCAGACTTATTATTTACCTAATTGGATGTAATGAACGATGAAATTAATAAAAAAAAAGGTTAAAACCTGCACCAGTTAAACTAATGTACCGTCACCTAATATCTAATATCATCATAAATGAAATGTGCCAACATACGGGTAGCAGTATTATAATCTGATTATAACGACATTACTTACGTACAGTAACATTCTTTATTCTGTGACATTACATTGGATATAGGGCCAATTTTTCAATCCTCAGTCAAAATTTATTCATAGTATATAATACAACATAAACAAATTGAAAATGTATCCTTGCGATTGTTCTCATTTGGTGAAATCCCAGTTTAATTTTTGTGATTTGGATAAACACTTGTACTTGATTCACAATATTTATTTTATATTATTAATATACTAATTATAAAAACCGACTATGTATGTTTCTCTTACATACGCACACAAAAAAAAATTTAAAATTACAGTTGTATGGAGAAAATAGTTCAAATGTTTGACTTTTAGATTAAGGCAGGTTATAATTTATTTGATGGATAACTTTTATCTGATGATTGAAAAATTGACCCTTAGATAAATAAAATTTAACACTGTTTGTATAGATTCACTAAATTATACCTCATTTTGAAATAAAAATCCGATGTAAGGCCGTTTCTTGATTGGTCGCTACAAATTATGCAACATCACTTTTGCCTAGAAATCTGTCTGGGTAAGTACCACCCTCTTGCCAATTTCTACCGCCAAGGGGTTATGTCAGTATAATTACAGATGAGGCATTGCACCTTAGTCCTCAATTGTGACAGCGCATGTGTCCATCTTTGTTTAAAGCTGGCTGCATGTGTAAGTTCATTTGTCACATCAGTTTTGTAAAAAAAAAGTAATAAACCAACAAACAGCATTTAATACGGCATTTTAAATCAGTTATTTCTTCATTATATAGTTATATGTTATGTTACTTTATGTTGCAATCGGCTCGTTAGGTCGTACGAATGTTGCATCGCTGTTGTACCGATCAATAAAAAACGATCTAGGAGCCAAGAATAATTAAAAATAATAATTTTACAATCCAGTCTATAACATAGCTTGCAATAAAAATGGTTAAGGTACAGTACCCAGGCAATCGAGCATCGCTCGTCTATCTAGATAAACTCTCAGAGATTAATACCTATTTAAATACAAAATTTACGTTTAACACAAAATTACGAGAAACCAATTCCATATATTTAGGTATGTTACGACTTATGTTAATGTAAATAATAAAATCTAGACTAGCCGGCTAAACTTAGGTTTAGTTTTGAGCATAGGCTTATGTTATCTAGGTTTATTATTAATGTAACATTAGCCGTAACATATTTATACAAGAATTGCTCGCGTAAAGTACTAAGGTTATGTGTTGTTTTAGAAACTCCATATTGTTGTAAATGAAAAGAAATCATACAATTAAGTCACTCACGTCACAGAGTTGAGTTATCAAGCAAACGTGTTCATATGAAAACCCAGTTTGTTCACCCAATGACAATGCTCAATGATTCATAGATGTATTTATGCGTCCATTGTGAATATTCATCTATGTTTTTATATACAGTAATTAAAATAAAATGTAGTTAGTTTGAATGTTATCAAAAAACAACTCTTATACACGTAAAGTTAAATAAGTTGGAGTACCTATATTAAGATATCAACTTCCCTAGATGGAGGAAGGCGATGGGTGCAGGTGGCTCCAAAACGTAGGACTTTGTGACATTCCTTGGGCGAAGCCTATGTTCAGCAATGGGCTTAAGAATATTCAAATTAATTGTAATGGATTAAAAAAGCCAATCTCTGGATGACACCTTCCGAATTTAATTTGATATTTCCACTCGTATAAAAAAAGGTTCACATTTCTAAAAGTGATTTTGATGTCTGTATCACTATTATATCTGAATGTATTACTCAGGTCGAATATTCGAGGCCTAAATCCAGTGGTAAAGTTTATTTTTTTATTTGGATTCCTCAAAAAAAAAAAAGAAATTGTTATTCTTTTAATAAAATTGTGATCGAGTAAACTAGTTGGCCACATACTGGATACGTTTTTATTATTTTAAATTTAAAATGTTCTATAAATATTATTATATTTTACCATTGAACAAACATCTAGGCCGACTAGAATTAATTTCTGTAATAATATATACTTATCTAATCTTCTTTATCTCACACTAAAAGAAAATAAATATCTTATAATAAAGTTTATTTCAATAAAAATATTTGGTATACAATCAATAGTGGCCAGAGTCTCCCTTAGAGGAAATAATGCCTGTAACGGATGACTCGGCTGTTATATCTATATATATTATATAGGTAATTGTAATATATTATGTGACACAGAAGTAGCTTAAAAACTAAAAGTCATAATTATAATATCTTGGAAGTACATAACGTGCAAGTTTACTGCAACTTTGTGTGTCGATTCAAGCCTTGCGAATAGAACAGAAATTTGCAGTAAAATGTTGTATCTATTATATTTATTCATAACAATAAACTTTATGTATCTCGTACCCACAGAGTAAGTAGAGTCCATAAACTAGCAGATTACCCTATCATAAATTATACAACAAACCAAAACTTTCTTTGAATTTAATAATTAATTTAAATCTAATTTCATAATTTTACGTACTGCGATAGACACAACTAGTTTAAAATAGATATAATTATTTTCGTAAGTACTGTTTCATTTCCAGTATATTATATAAGTTGGTTATTTTTGTTAATATTATAACATCAGATGTTTTGATTTAAGTAATTTAAGCGAGATCCGGCTGACCAATGTGCAATCGAAGAGAATTCGAATGTGTTATTTGAATATTTTCATTATATTGATGACGAATAAACGAATTATGAATGTGCAGTTTTGTTTGATTTTAAGCAATACCGACTGTTATTCTCTGCAATAAGGTTCAAAAAGCCTTAACAATCTAAGAATGAGTGTAGAAACTCAATCACGAACAATCACGGAAAATACAGCAAGCAGAGTAACAAACGCGTACTCAGTTCACCTGATGGTAAGTGGATGCCGTGGCCCATAGACATGTACATCTATCCTCGATTAAGATTCAAAATGCAGCTACGTTGTCAACACTGAGGATTAAAG